GCAGCAACATGGATGGACCTAGAATTTATTATACTAAGTGAAGTAAGTCAAACAAATAAAGACAAATATCATATGGTATCACTTATATGTGAAATCTGAAAAAAATGATGCAAATGAACTTATTTACAAAACAGACCCACAGACTGTTGAAAACAAACATGATTAACAAAGGGGAAAGAGGGGCAGGAATAAATTCAGTTCAGTTCAATTCAGTTGCTCAGTCATGTCCGACTCTTTGCAACCCCATGAATCGCAGCACGCCAGGCTCCCTTGTCCATCACCAACTCTCGGAGTTTACTCAAACTCATGCCCATCGAGTCGGTGATGCCATCCAGCCATCTCATCCTTTCGTCCCCTTCTCCTCCTGACCCCAATCCCTCCAAGCATCAGAGTTTTTTTCCAGTGAGTCAACTCTTCGCATGAGGGGGCCAAAGTATTGGAGCTTCAGCTTCAGCATCAGTCCTTCCAATGAACACCCAGGACTTATCTCCTTTAGGATGGACTGGTTGGATCTCCTTGCAGTCCAAGGGAGTCTCAAGAGTCTTCTCCAACACCACAGTTCAAAAGCATCAATTTTTCAGCGCTCAGCTTTCTTCACAGTCCAACTCTCACATCCATACATGACCACTGGAAAAACCATAGCCTTGACCAGATGGACCTTTGTTGGCAAAGTAATGTCTCTGCTTTTTAATATGCTTTCTAGGTTGGTCATAACTTTCCTTCCAATGAGTAAGTGTCTTTTAATTTCATGGCTGCAGTCACCATCTGCAGTGATTTTGGAGCCCCCCCAAAAAAAGTCTGACACTGTTTCCACTGTCTCCCCATCTATTTCCCATGAGGTGATGGGCCCAGATGCCATAAATTAGGAGTTTGGGATTAACATATACACACTACTATGTGTAAAATCGATAACCAACAAAAACCTACAATATGGCACAGAAATTCTACTCAGTATCTTGTAATAACCTTATAGGGGAAAAGAATCTGAAATATATATATATATATATATATAACTGAATTACTTTGCTGTACAACTGAAATTAACAGATTATAAGTCAATTATACTTCAATAAAAATTTTAAAAAAGAAATTAAGTCGCTCATTATACTCTTTCATAGCACCTATACCTTTTCTTGTGTCACTTCTCATAATTCGTGGTTTTAATGATCTGCAAAATTATTTGACTGTTGTTGATCTCCTTGCTAAACTTCAAGCAAGGGCAATGAGCTCATTGCCTATTCCCCAATGTTTTGTGTGTGCCTGGTACACAGTAGGTGCTCAGTCCATGTTTGTAGAATGATATTTCCCTCACCTGTGGAATAAAGTAGAAATGACTACAAGGTCTGATTCCAACTTACCTTCTCTAGGTCCTCTGCCCTTCAAGGAAGTCAAGCTGATGAACTTTACTGAAAAGGCCATGGGCTTCCTAACATTTGGTTCTGGTTTACACCATGTTCTGATTTTATCTTTTAATCTGAGCTCTAATTGTCCCTTGAGAAATCTGTATGCAGGTTAAAAAGCAACAGTTAGAACTGGACATGGAACAACAGACTGGTTCCAAATTGGGAAAGGAGTATGTCAAAGCTGTATATTGTCACTCTGTTTATTTAACTTATTTGCAGAGTCCATCATGAGAAATGCAGGACTGGATGAAGCACAAGCTGGAAACAAGATTGCTGGAAGAAATAGCAATAACCTCTGATATGCAGATGACACCACACTTATGGCAAAAAGCAAAGAAGAACTAAAGAGCCTCTTGATGAAAGTGAAAGAGGAGAGTGAAAAAGTTGGCTTAAAACTCAGCATTCAGAAAACTAAGATCATGGCATCTGGTCCCATCAGTTCATGGCAAATAGATGGGGAAACAATGGAAACAGTGACAGACTTCATTTTTGGGGTCTCCAAAATCACTGCAGATGGTAACTACAGCCATGAAATTAAAAGATGATTGCTCCTTGGAAGAAAAGTTATGGCCAACCTAGACAACATATTAAAAGGCAGAGAGATTATTTGCCAACAAAGGTTCATCTACTCAAAGCTATGGCTTTTCCAGTAGTCATATATGGATGTGAAAGTTGGACTGTAAAGAAAGCTGAGTGCTGAAGAATTGATGCTTTTGAACTATGGTGTTGGAGAAGACTTTTGAGAGTGCCTTGGACAGCAAGGAGATCCAACCAGTCCATCCTAAAGGAAATCAGTCTTGAATATTGAAACTCCAATACTTTGGTTATCTGATGCAAAGAACTGACTCACTGGAAAAGACCCTGATGCTGGGAAAGATTGAAGGTGGAAGGTGAAGGGGACAACAGAGGATGAGATGGTTGGATGGCATCACCAACTCAACGGACATGAGTTTGAGTAAGCTCTGGGAGTTGGTGATGGACAGGGAAGCCTGGCGTGCTGTAGTCCATGGGGTTGCAAAGAGTCGGACACGATTGAGCAACTGAACTGAACTGAACTAATTGTTCCTTGTGCCTGGAGGCCATGCCCTCCCCTTACTCCCCTACCAGAATTGATGCCTTATGGAAATACAGTTCACCCTTTGAGGCCATGCCCGCCTCTGCCACTGGACTGTGAGTTCATTGAGAATAGGAACAGAATCGCCCTTATTTGTCCCCAGGGAGCAGCTCAGCTCCTGGACTCTAGGAGGCACTCTTGCTTACACATCCCCATCTGCTCCCAGGCTACAAGCTCCTTGTGGGTAGGCAATATTGCTTTACCTGTGTGCATCTGGGAGCTCGTTTTCTAGCCCCCAGGGCATGGCCCAGGGTGAGACCTGGTGTTGGCTCTGGAATCTCCTGGAGAGAGAGGTGAATGTGCCTGGTCTTGTTGTGAGAGGCCTCAACAAGAAATGGCAGGGCAGCGGCAGAGTCTTCCCTGCCCTCCCCCGACTGTACTCTTTGATGTCTCCTCCCCCACCCCCATGGACAGAGGAGCCTGGTGGGATATGGTCCATAGGGTTGCAAAGAGTTGGACATGATTGAAGAGACTTAGTGCACACACACACACATTCCATCATGCCCCTTCTCCAGCAATAAACCCTGACTCCTAGGACCCCATGTTTCCCTGTTCACAGCCTTAAATGAATCCAGCCATCTACCTTCAGCGGGATCATTCTAAAAATCAAAGTTGGTTAAGTCTTTGCTTTCTTACAAATTTCCAGAGAGACTCAACAAACCACAGGGATGGTGGTACCAAGGGGAAAGTTACACTCCCAGCTTGGCCTATAAGGTCCTGTGAACCCTGCCTGCTCACACACCTGCTCTGGCCCTGTGACCCTGCTTGCTGGACTCTTGTTCTGTAGCATGTGCAGCCCCTTTCATAAACATGCACTTACATAACAGCTTTTCCCCTCACTCATTTTTTCCTTGGTTGACTCTGGCCTTGTTTTTAAACCCAAGTTTTTCTGTGGGTAAAGTCTCTGTGTAAAGACATAGAGCAAGGCCATCGAGGATACACCACAAACAGATAAGCAGTTGCTACCTCTGTGGAGGGCAAGAGGCAAACAGGATTGAGGGAGAGAGCTGGTCAAAGGGTATTTTGGCCTTATCTATAGAGTTTCTACTTTTCACAAAGAGATTGGATCATGTATTTATTACTTGTGAGATATAAAAACAAACAAATGAACTAGTTCAATACTAGGAAGCCTTCCCCAGACTTCCCAGGCAGATGAAGCTGTTTCCTGTTCTGGGATCGAATAGGACGCTCCCCTGTGTTATAGGAAATACTGCTTTATGTAATTTGTTGATGCCTTTCTCCATCTAGATGGGGGACCCCTTCAAAGGTACTAACTTTAACTTATGCTCCTAGTACTTAGTAGAGTGCCTGACCCAGAGCAGATGCTCAGGGAATGCTGAATCCAATGCCTTGCTTCTCTTGGTGGGCTCCTTCAAAAGCACTTGCTAAGGGATGGGCCCCATGCTAGTCCTAAAAAGCTGATTAATTTTCACAGTGTCCATAGAAGAATGTCTCCGGGAGGCTGAAATGTGAGTAGAGGAGTCTCTAGACTCTTGTATTGTGTCAATATGAGGACAGGGCTGGATTGCACACCAGCACCACAGCCCGCCCTCCCCTCCCCCGCAGCTCAAGGCTGGGATCCAGTTCAATGCTCCAGTTTTGTCACTTGGAATTCTTCTAAAGCCACTGCCTCCTCAGCAGTTAACCTAAGGGCAACAGATATATCCTCAAAGGTTGACCTTATTGAGCCCAGCCCTGATCTGTGTCTCTAAGATGGTGAAGCCAGCCCACAGTAACAAGCTGTCCCCATACAGTGTGGGGCCAGGGAGGCGAGAATTAGGGGACATTTAGACCTGCTCAGAGTGTCCCAGGCATGGAAGTGGGAGTTGTGCAACTGTCTGAGGGACTTCAAGTCATCTAGAATCTCAGTTTAATGGTCTGTAGCTTTTGCAATTTTCAACAGAAATCTGAGCTCCCAGGTCATATGCTCCTTCTTGGGTCATACCTACTGCCTTGGGCAAAAAGGCAAAGGAGTGACCTTAATGCATCAACTGGATGGGGGTTAGAGAGTGAGTGGGGTGGCTCTTGAGTTGGTGAAGCATGTGCCATGTGGCTAGGGCAACCTTTTAGACTTGGATGTACAAGGTGAGGAGGCTGAAGAAGGGTCTGGGTCAGTCTTTTTTCCAAGAATGCTCCCAACCAGCCCCTGTCATCAACCTTGAATAGGACAGTGTTCCTGTGGTCTTAGGGCACTAAGACTAGGTACTTGGGCTCCTGAAGTAGGAATTCAGTGAGTAGCATTCCCCACCACACCCCCAGCCTCCCAGTCTTTCCCTTTCCTCCCATCCACCCACCCTCCCAGCTATCCACTGACAACCTCATCATGGGTCTCATAATTGTTAAAAGAACATTGGACCATGCCACACCCATTTAGACCTCAATGAAGAACACCTCCAGTAGGCCCGTCTCTTTGTAAGTAACTTTTATTTTTATTTACAACAGAATTGGTGGCTTTATTCCTCCATCTTTAGGAACAATTGGCATCAGCTGCCAGATGGAAAGTCTGCCGTGAAGTCAAACTCATTCTGCCCCAGCCACAGCTCCGGAAGCTCATTGGCCCGGTCCAGTCCCAGTTCCACCACCAGTGACATCAGCACCTCTTCATCCACAGGGTCTGAATCGATGATGGCAGGGCTCTGGGCACCAGCAGAAGGAGAGAGTGATCCCGCCCCTCCCGCCTGAGCCCCGAAGCCCCAGTTTGGCAGGGGCTCTGCCTCTCCGGGTTGGCCCGGAGTGGCAGCAGCCATCCCATGGTACTGGCTATTTAGTTTCTGCAGCTGCATACTGGCCAGCAGGTGAGGGGCAGGGTGCAGGTTGAAGGGTGGGGGTTTAGTGGGAGGGGTGGCAGTAGGAGAACTTATTGGAGATGGAGATCCCGAGGAACTAGTGGGAGCCCCACTGGCCTTGGTTCCATTCGAGGCTACCCCAGGGTAGTGCAGGATGGCCACCGCTTTGCGATCTTTCACCCCCAGGTTAGAGTAGGCCAGAGAGTTCACCTCTGGGTTGGCATTCTAGAAGACAGAGAAAGGCACAGCATAGTACCCCTGCTCTACATTTTGTTCCTCACCATTCATCAGGCCTCAAAAGTGTTTCATCGGGGGCTAGTGGTGGGGAGGTAGCAAGCAGGCCCCCTAGAAAGGTAGGCTCCTTTCCTAGTTCAAGTTGGGCTCAAGTATTCTTTTGCCACTGTGGCTCCAAGCACTGTGTTCAGGTCTAAGTCTTCATGCTGGACACCCACCATCCTAAAGGAGTTCACTGCTTTCATCTCCTTCTCTCGACTCTACCTTCAGCTCACCATTCTACAAAAGGGGTCTCATTTCTCCCTTCTTCTCAGTCTGGCTTTAATCCATTGAGACAATGGAGTGATTCTGCTTCTCTCTCTGCTATCTTTCAATACCTCTAGTGGGTTCCAAGTGACCATATTTTGGAAGAAGCCATTTTCATCCTCCCCCGAGAAAGCTCTGCTGTCTCCAGTCTACTAAAGGACACCAGACACCACAGCCAGGAGGGCCTACCACATGGCCCCAGACCACATCATCTTTCCCACTCCAGTGCCTCCATCTGTAAAATGGCAAAAGTTACCTCCTTCACAGGTGAGGTGCCACCCTTGACATCAAGTGCAGGCCTCGACATAGTTGGCATTTCAGAGTCTTGGCAGAAGTTGGATAAATTGGTGGGAGGTGATGCTGCCAACTGGAGCTGTTGTGCTGTATGTGAAGGAGAAGTGGTAATAAGGGCAAAGGCTTTATTGACCAAGAAAGTACTAGCAAAGCCTGAAGCTGGGCCATTCCACACAGCTACAAGGCAAGGATGGTGATGGGTTAGAGCTAAGACCAGAGACTACCTGAGCAGAGGATCTCTGCTGCCTGAGGTGGGAAAGGTGCTTGATTTGGCCAGGTGCTGCCCCGATAGCCAGTTACCCACATCGCCAAGAGAGGACACACTTGACTGTTTCCTCATGCAAGTGATGTCAGTGCCACCAGTGCAGGGGGCACTCTTTCTGATTCCAAGGACAACAATGTCCCTGAGTATGTAGCACACTGTCTCAACTGGCCACTGGCACTCAGGCCAGAGAGCTGTGATCTCCGTTGGAAGTGGGAGAAAGTGGGAAGAAGTCAGGGTGAGGACGACTAAAAAGCTGGCGGCTACCACCCAGAGAAAGAATAGGTCCCCAAAGCAAATATCATGAGGTCCAAAGTTCTGCCTTAGGCATGGTTTTGTGTGAGAGAACCGGGCTGATCATGGTAGTCTGGGGGTTCTGAAGCAGCCAGAGAGCAGCTAGGGATGTCTCAAGTTCCTCCACACTGCAAGTCCCCTCCAAGACAGCCCTGGTGGCACTTGGCTTTCCCAGGACACTTGCTCTGAGCCCAGCCACACTCATTTGTAGTGGCAGGTGGATATAATTCTTCCCAGAGGGAAACTGAAGCACAGAGGTTCCATGGATTTCCCTTCAGGTGGCAGTGGCTCTGGGAGTAGGATCTAGCACTCCTGTGCCCACATGCCTCATGTGACCACTGGCCAAGATATCATACCTAGAATGATTCAAATGGCTTCTGAGGAAATTATCCCCTAGGTCAAATGCCAAAGGAATAAGATAAGGGGATGATGAAGGGAAAAGAATCTCCCCAAACCAGAAAATATTTTTAAAAAAATCTAAAAACTCTTGTTATTTTCCAAGAAGCTTTTTTTTTAAAAGCCCCATATTTTCTAGCCTTCATGATGAATTAGAGATGTAAAATTTTACATTTATAAATACCTCTTGGCCCAAAGAATCTTCAGGATCTTAAAGAGTCTCTAATCTTTCCAACAAGGCTAGAGTTCTCTGTGACACTTCCCTCCCCTTGGTTGTCATTAAGAATCTGCTCTGACACTTCTAGAAAGTGGCCACTTACTACCTCTCTCATCTTTGTACCACTTACTGGTAGGGGAGGGAGGCAAGAAAAATAGAAAAAGGAAGAAGGGGGAGAAACATGAGAAAACAATCAGTTGCTGGGCCCATCACCACTGCTTGGTTGGAGCCGTTTCTTCTGTGAGGCAACCCGAAAATATTTCAAGCCAGTGACCACAAGACAAGGAATCTAATTCATGTCGTCTTCAAGAGCCCTGCACCTTCAGTATCAAGCAATTTTCATGTCCTAAGAAAAATGTCTGGGTCGGGGGTGGCTGTCCGTCTTTTCTTGTTTCTATCCAGCTTTTCTTCTTTCTTTATGCTACCCGTTACCTGAACCATACATAAGAGGGAAAAAAAAACCACAGCAGCAAAAACAAAAGGAAACAGAAAGGGGGGTGGGGGGAGAAAGAAGAAAAACTGAGAGAGAGAACGAGAAAAAAAAAGTACGTTCCTGGGGAAGACCATTTTACCACGTCTCCCCCTTCAGGCTGTTGCACTCCCTTAGGCAGGACGCTGTTTCCATTCAGATTTGTCGCCTCTCATCGCCACCTTCCCCTCCACCAGCCCTGACCCTCGAGACCTGGGTCTATGCTCGGTAGGTGCTCAGTGAGTAATTGTTGAATCCGTTTGAAGAGGCAACCGCATTTCGATCGGAATCCTTACCCTTGCTTCCCCGGCTTTCGGTCTCCCCTCAGCCACCCAGCCCATTCGAAGACAAAACTTGGCAGCGAGGAAACGTCCCAGCTCACTCTCCAAGCCGCGAGCTGACCACTGTGAAACGGCTGCGAGAGGCGGCTGGGCAACCCAGAGCAACAAGTGCCTCCTCGCCCGCCGGTGCCTCGCTGGCCCCGGCCACCAGTTCCCGGTCCCGCCGCCCGCTCTTCGTCACAGAGTTTCCCGTGGGCCAGAAGCCCCCTCCCGCCTAGATGGGGATGGGAAAGGGAGAGGAAGAAGAGATAGGGCGAGAGGCAGGTAAAAGGGGGCCGCGTCTTTGACCTGTTGGGGGACCAAAAGTTAAAATGGCACCAACCGGATGGCTCCATCTCGATTGCTATTTTCTCACTCAGGAGAAATTTAAAAATCCAAACTACTGCGACTTGATTTGGATGCGATCTAACCAGGCTAGTCAATTTCACCACCTGAAAACTAAAGGCCCGTTGTTTGCGGACAGCTTGGCCGCCCTCCTCGCCACATCCCAGGTGGAGCCGCGGGAGCTGAGGGCGGCCGGGAGCATCCCTGCACTGTGGGGCGCGAGCACCCGGGCCACCAGGGCCCCGAGCGTCAGTTCCCGCGAGTGCCGTATCAGGAACGGATAGTGGAGACGGGATGGACAGGCGGGGTCTCGGCCTCGGTGGCGAGTTTGGGGCCCCGCAGTGCTGCCGCGCGCGGGGATGCACTCCGGCGGTGCGAGCTGCCGCCGCTCCCGCGCCTCCCCAACACATGAGCGTCGGCTGAGCACCCGACGCGGCCGCGGGCTGAGCCTACCCCCGAGCCAAGTCGCCTGTGGTCAGTGCTATCACTCAGCTACGAGAAGAGTGAGAGAGGTTCGGTAACTTGCCCAAGGTCACAGCGCTAGAAAGTGGCGAGCCGGGATTCGCAGCCAGATCTGTCTTCCTCCAAGTCCTGAGCTCGCTGAGGCTGGGACACCGTGAGCGGCCCAGCCCAGCCACTGGCATTTATAGGCAGAGGGGTGTGTGCGTGTGGGGGCGTGTGCGTGTGGAGGCGTGTGAGTGTGGGGGCGTGAGTGTGGGGGAGAGCATAGGTCGACTGAGCAGAAAAGGCAAGTTGCCCGAATTTGCTAACTTCCATCCCCCAATTCCGCTGAACTCGGCCCCAAAAGCCCCTCTCGCCTTCAGCCCTTGAAGGAAACCTGAGCTTTGTGCAGCCCTAGAGCCGGAGCGTCCAGATGCGGTCCGGGCGATTAGCAAAGTCGGTGGAAGCCAAGCTGGAGAAAGCGCGGGCGCGGGGAGAAAAGGTGCTGCTGTCTCCCGGGGAGAAGCGGGCGCTCGGCCCGGCTGGCCGGCAGACGGGCGCGCTGGCGAGCGAACCGGCACGCTGGCTGGAGGGCGGGCGGGTGGTGGCCCCTCCGCTCCCAGCAGAGCAGCTTCCAAACAGAAAATAAGTCCCCCAGAGCCCCACTGCCAGCCCGGCCCCCGCTCGCTCCCCTCGCCCCCTCAGCTGGAGTCCCCGGCCCCGCCGCCCAGCCCAGCGCCCTGCCGGGCGGCCCGGCTTACCTCCGCGAAGCCGCCTGCCCTGGAGAGAGGGAAGCGCGGAGCCCGGTGAGCCGCGGGCGCAGCGGCGGAGCCCCCTGCCCCTAGCTCGCACGCCGCCACCACCGCCGCGAGCCGGTCGCGCTCACTGCCACCCGACCCCGGGGCGCCTGGGAAAAGCCCGCACCGCCGCGCCGCGCCGCGCCGCCGCCGCACCGCACCGTGCCGCGCCAAGCAGCCCAGCCAGCGCCCGTGCCCGCCCGCCTGCCCGCCCGCAGCTTCGGCGCCTGACTCCGGGGCGGTGGCGGCCACCGCGCTCCCTTCCCGGCGCGAGGGAACCGGCTCTCAAGCCCCCATTGCTGCCCGGAGAGCCCTGACGCACACGCACACGGCAGCAGGCTGGCCTCGGCTAGGAATCCCAGGAAGGACAGACCCTTTCCCCCCCTTTTCTCTCTCCCCCCAATTTCCACGTCTTTATAACCGGCTCAGGGCATTATTAGCACATGTCCTGGCTCGTGGGCGAGTTGGTGGCAAAATCTGAACTGGATACTCACCCAAGGGCCAGAGCGGGTGCTGCGCCTTCTTCAGCCCTTTTATCCCCCTCGCCAGAAACTATCCCTCGCCGGCTGTCTGTGGGCGGACAGCCGGGCGGAGCGAGCCTCCTCTCGGCAGCTCAGCGGTGCCCCTTCTGCAGCTATGCCGCTGGGACCATTTTATAGCGGCGGCTGGCGTGTGTGGCCCTTTAAAGGCGCTCGAGCTGGTGCAGTCACAGCGGATCGTGTGAAAGCGAAGGGCCGGCTGGGGAACGGAGTCCGAGCGGCCCCGTGGGTCCGCCGGCGCCGGGGACCGGTCACGGCTCCCGGGGTGCAGCTGGCGGGCCCAGACATGGTCGCCCCGAGCCCCGAGCCCCCGGCCGACGCCTGCGTTTCTAAAGCAGGAAGGGGCCCGGGCCCCGGGCACAATCTCTCCCCACCGCCCTGCATGGACTTGCCCAATAAATTCCACTTAGTAATTTCGCTGAGGCGAGGGAGAGCTGTTAGTATCTGTTTTCTGACCTATATCTAGAGGGTGGTCAGAGCAGGCTTCAGGGGGTTTGAAAGGAGAGTTATGGGCTCAGAAAATGACCCGGGGGAAGGGGACACACACGGGACGGGGCCCAAGGGGCACAATTTGGGTTTTGTGCAGGGCTTTCTAGGAGCCTGTCTGCCTGCTTTGGGCTGCACCATCTCCCTGGTTGAAGGGCTGAGGCTGAGGGGTCCCTTTCCCCTTAAAGTCGCCAGATTCCAGACAGAGCTTCATGGAAGCTGGCCGGCAGCAGTGATTTATTTTCCTCGAAGATCTGAGCTGGGATCAGTTTCAAGGGATTCTCTCCTGTAGGCTGAAGGAGGCTGGCAGGTTGCTTCGTGGCGATGGGTCAAGGATTGTGGGGCCAGGTACAGCTCACAAGGCACAGCCAAAAGGCCCAGAACAGATAGATCACAAAGTAGGAAGAGCTTGCCTGGGGGCTCGCAGGGATTCCTCTTGCCTTCCCAGTATGCCAGGTTACTTTATGATCATTATATAATCATTCCCAAGTAAAAAGAACAACATTTTCTATTAGGAGCACATTTTTCTTGGGTTGGGATGTTATCTTACAAATCTTTTCGTTTGAGAGGTTCCAGTCTTCTCCTTCATTTTAGTTCGTGCTTCTCTTGCCTCTTACAGGAAGGCTACCAGGATTATTACCCTTCTAACCAAACCCCCCCACACCCCCAGCTTTTTTGGCCCCTTTCAGCAACAACTACTCCATTTACAGTGTTTATAAAACATGCTCCTTTTTAAAAGTCCTGATGTTAAGAAAAAAGGGGGGAGGGAATGTCATGAAGTCGTTTTCACTGTGTATGTGTTCTGTCTTCTTAATTGGATTTGAAGACCTAAAGGTCTTTTCCTTTCCTTTTCTTTCTTATTCTTTTTTTCTTTAGTACCCCAAAGTGCCCTGCATTTGCTCTTTGAACAAAGTTCTGTTTGTTGATGGACTGACTGGCTTACTGACGTAAAGATGGGGAGCAAACAGAGGGACAGATCAAGGCCCTTCTTTGGCGCCTGGAGGAAGCTGGGGCGAGTGTTCTGGACGCCAGGTAAACTCATTCCCTAGCCCCCAAAGCTACCTTGCCTGTCTCCCTTCCCCTCACCCTGAGTCAACTCAAACCCCAGTAACAACCGCATCCCACACACCATCTTCTCACTTTCTCGCGTTGCACGAAGATCTTAGGTCGCGCCCAGCTTCCTTCTGATAAAAGGCGGCATCTGTCGGGACCCTAAAACCCTATGAAGTTTGCTTGTGAAATACACCCTCAAGCTATCTTGGTATTTGCCTGACGTAAGTGACCCCGGGCTTTTGAATTGTGTTTTGCTAATTTGGACCTCTGACCTACCCTTCACCTCATTTCCCGCTCGGGAGCGAGTCTGGAAACCGTGGCAGCGTCTCCGCGGCAGGCTCCGGATCCGGGAGGTTCTTGATCCGCCCTCCATCTATTGGATGGCTCCCAGGTCAATTGTTAGAAAGAGGCATATGTTCATCTCGGCTTCTGGAGTGTCTCCGGAGCAGTTGCTCAACAGCCAGCCCCCTCCCCCATCCGGACCATTGAAGGGCAGAAAAAGGAGCGCCCTCCGCCACTTTTCTCTATGCCCACATGCCAGAAAGGGTCTCCCCACTGGTGACTTCCTATCATCTCCGCTGTCTACCTCCTGGGGAGCAGGATAGAGAAGGGTTTCGAGCACTCAGCTTTGGAGCACAAAAGCCACCCCTTTCCTTTGGGGGGGGTAGATGGAAGGGGAGGTTAGTTGCAGAGGCCGGGAGAGAGCAAAGGAGACATTTGCATTTCTCTGCAAATATGCCCTGGATCACTGACTTCCCAGTCGTCTACAGCCGAGCTCAGAGCTCTCCGCTGAACTCTTATCTTCAACTTGGCAACTAGACTGCGAGCTCGCATGCGGAGGAGAGGACAGGGATAATCACCCAGCAAGAACTTTCTGTGCGCCAGCATCGGACCTGGCCTGTTCCCATCCATTATCTCATTTAATTCCCACGCCCTGTGAGGTAGGGTTTACCAAAGGTGAGAAGGAGTCCCAGAGATTTGCCCAAGTTCACACAGCCAGGAGGCCAGGCATTTGAATCCAGGTTAAGCTAACTGCAGAATCCTCACCTTCACCCTTGCACCTTGCTGTTTGGCAAGGTAAAGGGACATCTAAAATGTGGTCAAGAGTACAGGTTCAGGGGCCAGTCCACCTGGGTTTAAATCCCTGCTCTGCTATTTAGTAACTCTGTAATGAAGCCCAATAGCTTCATTCTTTTTTTTTTAAATTTTTCCATTTATTTTTATTAGTTGGAGGCTAATTACTTTACAAGCTTCATTCTTTAGGCCTCAGTTTTCCTCATCTGTTAAATGGGGATTATAATGGTAGCAACTATGACGGCTCAGAGAAGGCAATGGCACCCCACTCCAGTACTGTTGCCTGGAAAATCCCATGGATGGAGGAGCCTGGTAGGCTGCAGTCCATGGGGTCGTGAAGAGTCAGACACGACTGAGCAACTTCATTTTCACTTTTCACTTTCATGCATTGGAAAAGGAAATGGCAACCCACTCCAGTGTTCCTGCCTGGAGAATCCCAGGGACGGGGGAGCCTGGTGGGCTGCCGTCTATGGGGTTGCACAGTCGGAGACGACTGAAGTGACTTAGCAGCAGCAGCAGCATGAGGGCTTGTTGCAAGGATCAATGGAAAAGCTTAAGTTGATGCCTGCTATGTAGTAAGTTGTCCACAAATGCTGTACCTTCTGATTCTTTTCCTTTTGCCTCCTTGTCCTGCCACAGCTTACATACTTCAGGTCTCCTAGTCCTGCCTCAGTTTACATACTTCAGGTCCAATAATACTTGATGACTGATTAATTTAAAAACCAGGCTGTGAGGGGATGAAGGAGGTCTATAAACACAGGCAGGGAAGAAGAGGAAAATGCAGATTTGTCTTCAGAATCCCATTTTCCAGAACCAAGGGCTATCTGAGCCTTATGACAGGAGTAAATTGAGGACCAATAAAAGATGATGACTTTTTAGAGGACAGTCTGTATGCATAGAGTGGTCTCTAGGAACATATATTCAATAAGTGTGTAGAAAAGTTAAAAAGCACATGTTACCATGTAGCTTGCACGATCTCAGTTCCCCCACCAGGGATGGAACCCGGGCCACAGCAGTGAAAGGCTGGAACCCTAACCACTAGGCAACCAGGGGACTCCCCAGAAAGCAAAAGTCTGTGTTCAAGAATGTTTTGAGCAGAATTGTTTGTAATAATGAAAAATGGAAAGCAATTTAAATGTCCATGGTGAGAAAGCATCCTTCAGTACCTTAACACTAAAAAAAAAAAAAAAAAAATCCTGATTTCAAAAACTTTTATTCATGGGAAAATGTTCACAAAAATATTAAATAAAAAAA